AGAAGAAAAAGAAAGAAAGGAACGGAAAATAATGCATTTCAAAGGGTAGCTGTTTATATATATATATATATATATATATATATATATATACACTTAAAGACACTGCAATAGAAAAAATATAAAAAAGAAGAAGAAAAAGAATGAAAGAAACGGAAAATAATACATTCCAAAGGGTAGCTGTTTATATATATATACTTAAAGACACTGCAATAGAAAAAATATAAAAAAGAAGAAGAAAAAGAAAGAAAGGAACGGAAAATAATACATTCCAAAGGGTAGCTGTTTATATATGTGTGTGTGTGTATATATATTAAAAAGGGTAATTTTGTGTTTAAACTTTTTAATGTTCCATAAAAATAGGAAAAATTGGACAATCGCATTAGCGACTATCCATAGCACTACCAATAAAATAATACAATAATTATCTAAAAGTATAGTGTAAAATTACTTTTTGAAATAAATATAAATAGTTAGGTGTTATTTGATAAAATTCAAAATTAAGTAGTGAAAATTTTAAGAGTTAAATAATAAGTGTTGAAGTTTTAAGTGATAATTAGAAAATAAATATTTTTTTATACCCTTTAAAATTTTCAGGTTCAATATTTAGTGATAAAGAATGTCCCTACCATTAAATAATTTACACCATTTTAACTTTTAAGAGTGGCTTAGTGTTTTTAAACTATCAAATAGCACTAAGAGTGCTTCACTGCTTTTGAAACTAATTGAGTCTTCTATTATCATTTTAAAAAGTAAAATAAATAGCGTGACAGTACTCAGACTTAAGATTTTTTGTTTTTTCAAAAGGAACTCGAATATGCTGTTTGGAAGGTGGGGGTGGTTTACCAATTTAGTTATTGGCAACGCCAAAGTTTTAAAGATTTTAAAGACAAATATATAATATATATGTATATGTATATGTATATGTATATATACATACAGATAGGAATTGCCGTACATTTTGACTGGATTATAAAATTGGTTGGGGTTCTTAACTTGAATTTGGCTTTTATATAGGTAAGACCTTTCCAAATCAATCTCCCTCAAATCTCACTAGTTCTCAAATTGAGGGCGATTATCATCATCTTCGTCAAACTTGATTACGATGTGGGTGGGGACTAAAACTAGCTACAATCTCCACCATTTCGCGGTAGTTGGTGTCGGTATCAGAATTTTGTCAATATCACAAAAGAAAAAATGATCCACTGTCCCGACTCCTCAAATATCCCCACCTTTATTTTATGATGGAAAACCTACACACCATTATTAATGGAGGAGATCCATTCAATCTCATCTAACCATATCAATCTCCTGACTTTAAACAATAATTACTGAATTAAGCGCTTTTCTAATCATTACAATTAGCAAAACAAGTCATCGTGCTCTATATTACTACTATTATCTGTCAAAAACGAGACTGCTCATCTATGAAAAATCCCAAATTCCATCACCCTTCACCCAATGCAAGGGACACTTGGGACCTTGGGCCTCACTCTCATTTCCGTGTTTCAGGATTCCCAAGTAGAACGCGCAATTTCCCTTGTATTACTATGCACATTCTCCTATAACTACGAGAAAGAGTTGCGATTGAAAAATATTCATATGGTATGTAAGTAGAGTGTATAAAAAGTTTTTAATTTTAATTTTGGTGTAAACAAATTCCTGAATGCTGAAAAGATTAAAACACCCCTCTATAACTGAATAAAAAATTAACTAAACAAACTAATTAAATGTGAAATAATTAAATTATTCTTGTTGAATATTTACTAAACAATAATGCCATATTGTATACTCTCATTTTCAGCATATGTAATTTTTTATTTATTAATTTTTTTTTTTATGTAACATTTAAATATGAAAAACATTTGTCATGCATAAATGAAGAAAGTGAACTGGGAGAGTCGTTAATTTTTTACTCTAACTCAATTCATTTACAAGCTTTATGGGATGGGCAGTTGAAGTGAATTTTTCACCATTATTATCATATGTTAAAAAGTTTGAGCGTATTAACAGTGCTCATGTCTGAAAATATTGACTCAATTTGTGGGAAATTGATAGCGGATTATGCGTCAGAGTGTTGACTTGTATTGTAAAAAGGCATGACCCACTACTTTGAGTCTGGAACATGCTTTTAAGGGATTGCCGCACCATTATAAAATGTAATTTAGCTTAAATTCATGAACGTGAAAGTCCCTAGGTTGGACTACCAAGGAGGTGCTGATATTTTTTTTTTAATTATTTTTTAAAAGACTAAGAAGGAAAAAAGAAGATAAATGAAAAAGAAAGGATAAAAGAAAAGAAAAAAAAATTATTTGTTAGGTATAAAAAAGACAAAATAAAAAATTTACTTTATATTATTTTCTTTGATTGTCTTCAAATTTTGGAAAGAAAGCGCAGTGTGTTAAAGATTCTTTGATGTTCGTCTTATGAATTTTTATAATCTATTAGACTTAAATTTATCTATGGTACCTCTTTTTACGACGTTTAGTTCGAAATTTACCGTTATAGTGATGAAAAAACCAAAAAAAAAAAAAAAACATTTTTATGATAAGTGAGTGGCATGTCACGTTATGCTCCTTTTAATTGTGTGTGCCACTGTGCCCTGAGATTGGCAGGTAATATTAATCCATATCTTATTTGGGGATTGCTTTAACTTTTTTTTAGTAAAAGTGACTTAAAAAAAAAAAAAAATTCCGAGTCCATTAATTTTTTTTTTTTTTTTTTCAAAAATCAATATAACAATGTTTCCATGTGTAGATTGAAAACTCAAATTTCTTGCGCGAAAGGGAATAACAACGAAAATTGGCCTCAAGAAAAATATTTTTACATCATTAGATAATTGGAATAACGGGCACTTAAGACATTTATATAATAAAAGTGAGGAAAGGGGGGGATATGTTTATCAATTAAAATGTGTGGGTGAGATTAGGAGTTTCGGGTGTTTCATTGGAATCTGGAAAGGGAATTCAGTAATTGCTACTTCGGGAGCATTCAAGAACTCATCGCATACTTGAGCCAACCATGTTGACAATAATAATAATAATTCCATGATCGATGAAGAAAACAAAAAGTGATAATCTAAATTGTATTTGGTTTAAAATTAAGAGGAAAAGGAAAGGAAAATGGGGAGAAGTAACCCTTTAAATAGTGCCCTTTTTTTAAAAAAATATATATATATGTGTGAGAAATAGAGGAAAGTAATAGGAGAATTGGGGAATATTCATTTTGTCTGTATTTTTATAATAAATAGAATATAATTTTTTTCCCTACTTAGTTATTAAAACACAAATAGTCGTCAACATTATAATTTTCAGTTTAAAAATTTCCATAATTAATACTATCATTTTTCTTTTCCTTTTCCCTTCTAGCTACAAATGTTGATTATTGTCTGCTTAATAGAACCAACCAGAAGGCAAAAACTGTATATAGCTAATTATTCAAACACATCCCAGCCCTGAGTATCTCTTTCTTCTAACTAAATGATGCATTAGTCTTAAAAGTTTTCTGCGAAGAAAGAAAATGAGGGGAAGAAGAAGCACGTTTTTGCAACTTAATAATGGCTAGGTTTATCTTATAGCTTGTGTTTCTTGTATAAATTTTTTTGCCCAAAAAAATACATGTTAACTTTGATATGTTTACTTTCATTATTATTTAACATTTATATGTTTACTTTCTTTATTTTGGCTCAATTTTTATTTATTATTTTTTTAATCTTCTTGTAATTTAAAGTCATTCCCCACCGAAGAAAATTTTTGCTTTCACATACGACTATATTTGATCAATGATTCAATGACTCCACACCTTGTTTTGTTATGAGAAAAATGAAAAGATAAAGGAAGATAAGGAGAAAAATTCTTTTGATGGGAAAGAACGAAAAAGAATACGGGTAAACTTAATAGTTTTTTTTTTGTTTTTTCTCCAAAGTCCATTGAAAAAAGTGTTGCAAACTTTTCTTATGTACGGCTATAATTTTGAAAACAGAAAATCAAATATATTATATACATTTTTTTTTTTTTTCGGAAAGTCATATTATATACATTTTTCCTTACAAACTAAGGGGTAAGAAAACTTAAAAATGAATATAATTAAGCAACTAAATAATGCCAAAAAAAATTGTTGATTGCATGTCACGATCACTTTCTTCGTGGGCCTAAAAATGTGAGGTTGCACGCTATTTAATTTATATTATATAATAAAATAATTTCTTCTACATCTTGTTATATTACAACTTTTACAAAATAAAAGTTCACATGCATAAAATGTGCCAGAACAAGACCATCATGTGACACATCTCCTGATAATTGTCCATAATTCTATTTTAAATTAATAATTTAATACGTTTTAAATATAAAAAAATTATGAATAAAACATATCATCAAGTTGTTTGTGTTTAATATGTTATAAAAAAAAAAAAAAATCAAAATACTCAAAAAAATAAATAAAAATACTGGCTAGTCAGAAGTGATAATAAAAATTTGTAAAAGATGTTAAAAAGAAAATATTTAAACCATCATGTTTAAAAAAAATATATCAAAATATTCAAAAATAAAATTATACTATTTAGTTAGTCAAAATTGACAATACAAATTTGAAAAAAAAATGTTTAAAGAAAATATAAAAATTTGTAAAATGATGTGCATCTCATCTTATATTCTATAGCACATGGTAACAAATACTATACTATTATTTCGAGGGATTTATACACTTATATTTACTACTAACATTTACAAGAATTATTATTATTATTTTTTTCACGGTACCAAACAAAGTCTAAGTGGCTGTTTGGCAAGCGTCTTGTTTTAGACGTTTTATTTTTTTATTAAAACAGAAATAATATTTTTGTTATAGGAGTGTTTTGGAAAAAATCAGAAGCACAATTATGTTTTGTTGTAAAAATGTCGGAAACAGAAACACGAACAGTTATGATTTTAGGCCATAAACAATTGTAAAAAAAAAAATAAAAAATAATTTTTTAATATTTTAAACTTGGGTCACCGTTTAACATTATGTAAAATAAAACAAAGTAACACCAAATATATGTTTGTTGCCAAAATCCACCAGCCCAAAAACAAAAAAACAGAAAGAAGCAAAACGCAACCAAAGAAGTGATAGTGCAGTATTGTGTGCTTCTGGTCTATCAGCTATTCCCCTCCATTACTTTCAACTTTCCCGCCTTCTAAAAAATAAGCTCTACGGAGTATTTCTTAGCTAAAACAAAGAATAGCCGAAAGGAGTCGGGCATTAAAAAGCCCTAATATATGTAATCGGAATCTCTCCGTCGCCGGAAAATGTCGAGGTGGCAGATAGTCTCCGATGCCAGTAACAACTTCCGGTGGGAGATTCCCAATCAACACCTCCATATCAAACCAGACGAAGAACCAACTAGTTCCCCTCCTACTCGTCTCCCGTCCATGGACGATCTCTTGCTTCAAGGTATTCCTCCACAAAACATCAATTTCTCTCTCTCTCTCTCTATATATATGCGTGTGTAAAACACACACAAACAAATAGGTCTTTGACTGTATATTATTGTCAGATCAATTAAGTTTTTTGCCCCTTTAAATTTGGTTCACCACTTGATCAATAAAACTCTACTCTTCGTCTCCCATAAATAATCCCTCTCTCTATACACACACATTAAGACATGTACCTATTCAGAGGTTTATTTATTTATTTTTATTTTTTAATTTGATCAATTAAAGCTTTATTTTTCTTTTTCTTTATATTTTGTTCACTCAGGATGTTCAAATCTATTGGAGAATCACAACGGTCATGTCGAGAGCCCTCCGATGTTTCGAAGTGGATTAGGGAAATCAGTTACAGTGAAGCAGTCTTCAATATCAAAAGCATTATCTATTCTCGGTGACGAAGGTGATGCCTTTGCCCATACAGGTACTTGTGTTACGGCTTACTTTTCTTCTGATTGTTTGTAATTGCTATTGATTGCTGTTGTTTGATTATTGAGAATGATATATAAAGCAGAACTTGCAAAATAGTGCAAACTGCCAATTAATTTGGGAATGTTTTGGTTTTTGGAATAAACTATCATGAGTTAAATATTGTGGCCTTTGGCTTTGAAAACTGTAATTAACCTGAATTGCATTGCACAATCAATAGTCATTCAAATCTATGTAACTTAAGAGAGATAAGTAGAATTCCTTGGATTTTATTGTTTCAGATATGCAATAAGATCTCTATTGGATTCATCTGCTTTTGTACTTTCATAGAAGGATGCTTTAAAATCAACATGTTTTTGCAGGCCAACTGTTTGGTGGGAGAGAAAATGGTTTGAGTTTAATGAATTCAATGTTTCAAACGGGTTCAGGGAAAGCGGTTAACATATCTTCTTCTGGCCTTGTCAAAGCCAAGACATTGTTAGATTTAGAAGAAAATAATAAGCAAGAGAATTTTCAAGGTCTTGAACAGACAAGGAAGCAGTCACCGGTTAGCGAGCCATTTGGTTGGCAAACGAACGTTGGAGTAGATAATGCAGGATTTGAGGATGCTGCATCTGTTCCAATCTCTTCATTCACTTTTAAGACTAGTACAGTAGGAGTTGATTCAAGGAGAGATGCCATTCCAGATTTTTTGTATTCAGCTCCTAAACCACCTCCAATCAAATTCCATACTGCAGGTGGAAGATCTTTATCAGTGTCTACTGATGCATTGCAACGTGCAAGAAGCCTTCTTGGTGACCTGGAGCTAGGATCATTCTTAAATGAAGGGGATGCAAATGATCCTGTCTTTTCGTTTTTCAAAGAAAGAAGACATGATGATAATCTTTTGGTCAAAGAAAACAAATCTACTACTCTGACTGATCAAGAAACAGTAATGAGCAAAAATATGTCCATAAGTTTCATATCCCCCATGAAATCAACTTCTAATCCACTGCAGTCATCGGTCATGTCAGAGAATGTAAATTCAGGCAATAACTTGATTAAGAGTTTTGATGCAGAGGACTATGACAGTCCTTGTAAGTCATTTAAAAACACTACTTGTCCGCGGAAGCCTTTAAGCAACAAGCCTCATGTGCCTAGTGCAGTAATTGGTGATTCTTTGGCAAATGGTATTGGTTCAAGAATTAATCCACGAGGAAGGTCATCTGGCAGACCACTGACTGATATTTCAAATAGCATTAGCATGAATAACAGGGATAAAATTTGTACCGGTGAAAAGAGAGGATTTGGAAAGAGAAGTTCTATCTCCCCATTCAAGAGGCCCCGCAGTTCCAGATTTATCACCCCTTTGAACAACAAAACTTTGTTGGTTTCTGAAGGTAACTTTTGATTTTTTGGGTAACCTTGTTTCTGTTCTTTCTGAAAATTTGATCTTCAGCACATCTGAGGCCTTTGTTTAAATTAGGATCATCTGCTATGGCACCTGAAGACTCCTGTTACAAAGGAAGGATTTCCACTCGATATCCAATTAAGGTTCCTCGAATTTATATCAAGGAACACTTTGGAATGCCTCCCTCCCACCAGAACATGGTACATATATATTGTGTTTCGTGTCATTTTAGAATTGTTTTCCCTTTTGCCCACTGACACTATATATCGTGCCTTCATAATTCCAGTCAAAGCACTTGCCGGACCAACTAAGAAGGATGAATCCAGACAATGCAGAAAAGTACATGTTTTGTGATGGATATGGTTTAGCTTCCATTGGAGCAGAAGCTTTTTGCAACATGTTAGCAGAGTCTGGAGCTTCCATGCAATATGTTTCTAAAGAGTATTGTTTTGTACCATTCAGTTTAAATCATTTGGGCTCATGGCAATAGCATTATGGCAGAAATAAATTTATTTTTGTCAGTTAGTGATTATAAGGATCATATTATGAATTATATCGATCTTAGAAAAGTAAATGTCAGAGTTATATTGTGTTAATTTTTAAGGTCTTCAGAGCTATTGTTTTAACTTCTCCATTAGTTAACTATTTTGCTACTTGAACTTCTGGGAATGATGTAAGCACACTCGAATAAGTACTGAGTAATTGAATGGATGTGTATGCTGGCTTAGTGAGTTGCACCTATACATACAATTTTGATTGGTTGTGTTGTCCAGCACCTGTACATAGTATATGTTACTTAATGGTATTGATTTATTGTGCAAAACTGGAATTCCAGTGTTGTGTAATGGTTCTTGGATATTCGTATGTGTTGTTTGATGTCTGTGATATTCCTTGATTATTTTTTGTTGGTTTAATACATATCTTTTAAAATTTGATTAATAAAAATTTCATGAAGTGGAAAAGCAATAACTTGATTCGTTTCCTCTATTTATCTTTGTAGTTGGGTTGCAAATCACTACAAGTGGATTGTTTGGAAACTTGCATGTTATGAGAGATGCTATCCAACTAAATCTTCTGGGAAGCTTTTGACAGTGTCTAATGTGCTTGAGGAATTAAAATATAGGTATCCAATCTTATCAGGTTGTAAATTCATACTTGAGTTTCTACTTTCTACTACAACCATGAAAACTGTTTCTGATGTCTTTCAATAGATATGAGAGAGAAGTAAATTATGGCCATCGATCTGCAATTAAGAGAATTCTAGAAGGAGATATGCCACCTTCAACGATGTTGGTACTGTGCATTTCATCGATTTATTCAAATCGTGATCCGAAGATTGAAACTCATACTTTGACATCAAATGGGGCTGAAAATAGTCCCGCCACAAAAATAGAATTAACTGATGGGTGGTAAGGAAATGTTAATTTTAGTGCTCAGACTATGAATTTGAATATTTGGGTGTCTGAAAGTTATTTGTTTCACAGGTATTCAGTGAATGCTCTGTTGGACGGATTGCTGTCAAAGGAGCTCGCTACTGGGAAAATATTTGTGGGACAGAAACTTAGAGTACTACATCTCTTTTCTTGTAAAAAAAACACCTTTTTGATTAGAGGTCTTTAGTCTATATTGCTTTTACTTACCATTTCTTTTTGCAACCTGAAGATCTGGGGAGCTGGTTTATGTGGCTGGATTAGTCCTGTTTCACCTCTCGAGGTTGTTGCTAGATTTAGTTATTAAATTGAATTGTTAAAAGTACTTGGAACTTTCATAGTCATAAGGTTTTCTCAAATTTTGCTTGTGTCAGGCATCAAGGACGATTAGTTTACTTTTGCACATTAATGGGACGTATAGAGCTCATTGGGCTGATCGTTTGGGATTATGTAAGCATTTATTAAAATTATATGCATTATTGTCTACTTGTAGTTATTATCTGGCTGTCTTTTTGCAGTTTTTTTCTTATTGCCTTTACACTCCTGGTATTTAAATCTGCATCTCTAGGTAAGGGTGATAGTGCTCCATTAGCATTTAGGTGCATCAAAAGCATGGGTGGTCCAGTTCCTAGCACATTAGTTGGAGTTACACGGATATACCCTGTTCTGTACAGGGAGAGGTAACCTGAAGTAAAGAAGTTTTTACTTGAAACTCCTATAATTTGTGTGTGATATTGACTATTTCATTACTACCATGCAGATTAAGTACTGGGGGATTTATTGTGAGATCGGAGAGGATGGAGGCTAAAATGATGCAACTGTATAACCAGAGGTGACACTTATTCTAAAAGTACCATTCAGTATACTCTTGATAAACATATTTGCGTGGCCACCTTGAGTTTTTCCCCTCTAGGCTTTGATTTCATTATTGTCCAATATTTGTGTTTTGTTGCACTTATATTGATCTTTCAGGGTTGAAAATGTAATTTTGTACCAAAATACAGTGACACAGTTTTGTGACAACAATTGAAATGTTTCACTGAAGTGTAAATCTAATGAAACTTGTGTTTACAATACTTAGTCTTGTAACCAAATAACACCAATTAAGTGCTATCCAGACCATTTAGATTCTGATAACAAATCATGTCTGCCATTACTATGTAATTTTAGTCAAAAAGTTCTAAACCATGTGAAAAATTATGGACTTAGTCTGAAGTGAAAGACAGATTTGAGCCAGTTAAGGTGGTCTGGTGATGTGCAGAAAAAACAAAAAAGATGATACCAAGGACAGCCAAAATGTCAAAAGTTGAAGCTGTGAGCAAAGACGTGGATAATGCAACATTTTTTTTTATTTTTTATTTATAAAAAAAGAGAGAGTCTAGATAGAGCATAATTGCCAAAGAAGATTTCCTGTACCTGACACCACTAAGTTAGGATAAGCTATTGCTGATAGAGTGGATTTGTGTTTTATGCTTCTCTTTCATATAATATGTTATGGTCCAGCTCTCATGTAATGTTCATTCTGGAATTTTCTTTAGTAATTTCCGTTATTTTCTTCTTCAAATTCTAAAATTGCCAATCAGACTTGTTGCTGCCCTATTAGGTCTTACAATTACAATTCTTGTCTCTATAACTCCAATATCTTGTTTATTGTGTCAAACACATGAACTTGTACTTTGGTTTTCTGTGTTGAAGCGGAGGCAGAACAATTACACAAAAATCGATGCTGTCGTGGTTACCCTTTTGTTCTTATTCCTTCCTTGCTGCTGTTTTGTTATTCAATAGTTCTTGTAGTTTGGCTGAGGGAAACCTATTTTTTTGTTGACATGGAAATGACATTGCTTCCCACCAAAGAGAAGCTTTTATCACAAAAAATTTATTCTAACTCGTCATGTTTCGCGCTGAAAATTATGTGAAATGGTCATTTTTGGACTGTTTCTTTCAAACAATGACAAAGGCAATATCATACTTCTGTAGCAGGGAGGGAAACCTCTTGCAATAATAATCTTAAGGATTTAATGCTGGTGCGACCCAAAGTAATAGTAATCAATCTCTTTGATTCAATGAAAATCTAGCCTTTTTTTCTTCGTCCTCTATTTTCCTGGCAAATAAATAGTCACCATATTCTATCCTTTGCCCCTTCATTCCAGTAAGTAGCGGTTCAGTTATGCTTCAATAATATCAACTATCACTTGTGGGCTACTAAATTTATGATGATAAATTTAAGTGAAACCTTTCATCTGATGCTTGATTTCTTGTTTGAATGTAGGTGCTCAACTGTTGCTGAGGGCATTATGTCTGAGTTTCAGAGGGGAATCAAAGATTTCAATATTAATAATGACAATGATAGTGAAGAAGGGGCAAAAATTTTAAGGATACTTGAGTCGGCTGCTGAACCAGAAGTATTAATGGCTGAAATGAGTTCAGAGCAATTGACTTATTTTGCTGCTTATCAAGAAAAACTACAGGTGAGTTTCAAATGTTGTACTTGACAGATTGGTCCAAACCTAGAATGAGGTTGTTAACCATGCAAGGCCCAATTTTAGGCGATCAGGCAGTCAGACATGCAGAAATCAATTGAGAAAGCTCTTGAAGATGCTGGCCTAAGTGAGAGGGAGGTCACCCCATTTATGAGAGTAAGAGTGGTTGGGTTAACTAGTAAAAGTAATCCACAGAACTTCTGCCCGCGTGAAGGATTAATAACAATCTGGAATCCAACTGAGAAGCAGGTGAGTCCAAGCGTGTGCACACATGGGCCTTCTCATCTGCATGTACATGAGATCTGTGTTTCTTTTAGCCTTGACATCATAGTTCCTTTCCTAATTTAATCGTTCGGTTTCCTAACAAGATCTTTAGTCGATTTCTCATTGCTGTTACAGCAATCAGGGCTAGTTGAAGGACAGGCATATGCGATTGCAGGGCTTATACCATTAAACTCTGATTCAGATACCCTTTACTTGCAAGCAAGGGGAGGTACCACCAAATGGCTGCAATTATCTCCCTCAGCACTTGAACATTTTGAGTAAGTCTCGATGGCTTTCTCAGTTTATCTACTAAGTTTATATCCATCTCACAACTGTCTTTTGCAGGCAATTCTTTAGTCCTCGTAAGTCAGTCTTCTTGTCAAATTTGGGTGAAGTTCCTCTCTCCAGGTAAGCCTTCTACCTCACCATTTCCATCTGATGCTTTTGCTTCTGAATTTATGAGCAAATTGTCATTACTTGTATTAATAGTGTGGCTTTATTCAGCGAATTTGATATTGCTGCATTGGTAGTATATGTGGGAGAGGTGTACACAACTGCTCATCAAAAGAAGCAGTGGGTGTTCGTGACTGATGGCTCCATATCTGAGTTAGATTCAGAAGATCCAACAAATTCTTTGCTTGCCATCAGCTTCTGCTCACCATCTGTTGATTGTGATTCATTTGTGCCGATCAATTATAACCTTGCCGGATCTATGGTAGGTATTTTATTTGTGTAAAATATGCCTCACAATGAATATTCTACTTTGTTTACAGTCAACTAAGACATCTGATATTCTGAAAGCAATTTGATTTTTTGTTGTTGAACACCCCTTTATCTACTAGTGGCAAACACTTTTTGTTATAGAAAAATCAGTTGTATATTTTAATCAAAATTTATGTAGGATGCTTGTGGTATGCTATGATGTGACACCTTTGTTTGAAGGTTTTTGAAGTTGATGTGCAAGGAGCACAGAAAATAATCTAATGTGTTGGAAGATCCTTATGCATTGCTTTAATATATATTACTTTAAAAGTTAATTTTCTTCCAAAAAGATGTTGATTTTGTTCGAAAATGGCCTTTTAATTCCTTGTGCTTGCAAGCAACTTCTGCTTTTTTGTGCTTTGTTTTAAATAAATTCAACTTGATTCTTCACATGACAAGCTTTATACCCTCTTCCCACCCTCAACAAATAAAACCATTTTCTTAACAATAAATTACTGTTATTAAAATTCTTGCAGGTTGGCTTTTTTAATCTCATCAAGAGAGCGAAAGACCAAATGAATCATCTATGGGTGGCGGAAGCAACAGAAAATTCTACTTATTTTCTAAGTTATGATCATGCACAATGTTCACACTTAAAAGCTGCTGCAGTTTCTACTGAAAGATGGGCAAAGGCCTCTAGCTTGGTATGATTTTAAATTTTTATAGGTTATAGCATCTGTTTTGGTGCTTGCAAGTTTATACCCCTTTCATTCTTGTTTCACTTCATGCAGAAAATCGAGAAGCTCAGGGAGAAAGTGTTATCTATTATTGGTAATTGTGGAGGGTAAAATTTTGAAGGAGCATGTCTGAACTGACAAGTACGTCTTGTACCCTTTATTCTTATTTGCATCTTTGACATCTGTGAGGGGGTATCTATCTCCTCTTGTTAGCATGGTCTCTTAACGAAATCCAACGTTACTTTGTTGTTTCGTTGTCCAGCTTTCTCTTTTGTTTCAATTTTCAGATAGTTAATATTAATATGCTCTTCAATTTGTTTATATGTACAGTTAGTTTCAACTCTTATTTGATCAGACTTGTGGATTTGTTGGATAACTATTTTCATAAAGGTTCTGATGTAGTTTTACAATTGTCACTTTGTTGAGCATTGGGGAAGAAATATAGAAGGCAATTTATTTTTGCGTACTAAATGAAACTGAAAACCTCCTATATTTCAAAATAATAGATTGTCTGGATTCTACACCTCATCCTTTTTATTTATTTATTTATTTATTTTTATTTTTTTAGGTTTGGTGGTTCCAATGCAAGTTCAAGGATGAGGGAACATGTCATCCAGAACTGCATCTTCCTCAGGTATAAAGCCAGTGTCCGGTTGACAGTTAAACCTCTACTCAATTGGGCTTATAGATGGTTATAATACGTTTTGCAGGCCAAGCTCTTAAAATCTTTCATGCAGCATTCAGAAAGCAGCTTGAAGTTTGTTGTGTAATCCAGGAATAACACATTTCACAAGATGGTATCATTACCTTGTCAAACAAAACCTGAGAGGCCTGTACTTAAAATGCCCGAATCAAGTTTTGGTTTATGATGGCAATTTTATTTCAAAATGGGAAGGTGAAGCTGGACCATGTCAAGCAGCATTGCAATTTAGTTCATGAAATCAGCTTGTATAAAAATGTTCTGCATAAGTACTTCTGGTAATTAGTTCTTCATTTTATTTTTGAGGGAATGTGTTTCTGTTTTTGGGGGCTACTATAGTCCTAAGCCTGGTCCATGTAAGTATATATACAAAATCAAGGTTTTGATGGAAGTTCTTGCGACTTCCTTCTACAAATAACATTATGAATTTTAAACTGTGTATATGTAAAACGATATCAGTATCATTTTAAACATACTTTTGGTGCAAAATAATATGCCACGTGAATCCTGGTTGATTAGTGTGTGCATTGTGTTCATGTTGTAGCAATGAGTCCAAAGGGCCTTCGGTCTCAGGTTTTTTTTTCTTCTTTTGATAACCGGGGTGTCTGTGGTTTTGCCTGGCTAATCCACAGGTGACCAGTGCAAGGCATTTACACGGATTGGGTAAAGCTCGGACTATGAATGCAAGTATGGCCCTTGAAGAATTGTTTGTACTTAAGAATTGATTCAATCCTGGCACCTGAAGGTCAAAATGTGGCAAAACGGTATGGGTTTGTCAATTAATTAGCACTTAAAAATGTCATGGCATGACCAGAAGTTTTTCACTTCTTCCGGTGAGTGGAAGGTGCAAGTATGACCTCAGTAAACACTAAAGGACACAAACCAATACGGTCCTACTATCGACAACAAATTGACGAAAGTCTTAAATCTTAAAATGTCATCTAGGACAATACCGGGAGTTTAAAGTTGTTAGGTAAGTTTTTGAGATTATTATTTACAGTATATATTTATAAATATAAACACACAAACAAGAGATAAACAATACAGGAAGGAAATGAAGCAGTGAGGAGTAGAATATGGCCTAGGCATTAGACGAGACAAAGACAACCCAATGCCTAAAGCAGCCTCAAAGACTGACTCAATGGCGGCAATCTGCTGAGCAGTCCTAACTCTACCACCATGCAGTCTGGAATTCCTTTTTCTTCAGAGGTTACAAACAGTAGCAGCAAAAAACAATTCTTCTGAATCTGGCCAGATGAGAATTCTTACAATATTTAACACAAAATTCAGTCAAATTTGCAGCATCCACCCTTGTGTAATGAATGAGAACAGCCAATTCCAAACCTCCTTAGCCAAAAGCACAATGCAAGAAAATATGTCTTATATGAGCTCAACACCATTCCAACAATTTGTTCCATCATTTATCCAAAAGAAATGCGCTTTTATATGACAACTAAAACTCATCATTTAAAACAAGCATATTTACTAATAAAAAAATGTTAACAAAATTATGACTGAAAAAAAAGCTGCAATGCATATGCTCTTCTAAACACTAGGCTCCTTTTCTCTGTGGTTACAACAGAGAAATACATAAGACCTAACAAAAGTTTCTCTTTTATAAAAATTGGAATAGTAACTCATTCCATACATCAGGAACACCTGGCAAGCACCAATGTATACAATCAGAGTAACTCGTGGGGTTTGATAATTTTTCTGGGCTGAGTGTCTCCCAAAACTTGCGGTAGATGGATGGATGGCCATCTTTTCGATACTCTGAGAGCTGAGTGATGTTGAGAACAGAAACCTTTGATTTCAACCTGCTCAACACCTTCTCCACCATGCGCATTGTAGGCAAGTCAGAACCACTTCCCCAATAGCTCTCATCATTGATGGGGGTTTTCTCATCGTAACAATTACTTTCGCTTCCTGGCTCCCACTCTCGGCTCCTAAATTAACCAAAAGAAAACGAAAAGAAGGGAAGAAATATAAAGACATGTTCAACAGATTGGACAGATTTTAACTAGGTGAAGAATTTTAGTTTCAGCATGCTAAAAGATTTAAGAGTGGCAATCAGGAGACATAGAGTTGATTTTGTTCCCATTAAACTATTTAAAGACCTTTCATATGATATAAAAATTGAAAATGGACCTTATATTAAATCTATCATTTTAAAGAAACCACATTTGCCTTTACTGGCTGAGAAGATGGGATAATAATGGGATATTTTTATTCTACCAATCATCCTGCTTACAGGCGTGGAAAGGATTTTTCGGGAAGCCGGAGAGAAGGTTTTGGAAAATTTAGTTGAACTGCAAATTGGAGTGTCTATATCATTGTTGCAGGGATGGTGCCTAAAAAATTTCAAGCTAAAACTGGCCAAGAAGGCACAAACGTAACGTGGTAACTTAGAGGCATGGAAACTACATCCTCCATTTCATTAGTTTCATGGCAACAACAAAAATTCAACCTTTGGCAATTTCTTATAAGGAGGAAGTGGAAAACCTAAAATCTTACTATAAATGATGAGGGGCCAAATATCACATTGACATAATACCTCTTATGAATTCATGGCTACTCTTTAACTGTATGGGAACCACTTCTGTATATTTATTGCTATTATAAATAATGGATCTTAAGATATCTTTTATTTGCAAATAGTTGGATTCGTAAAGACATAAGAGTGCTCCACCTTTCTGAAGCTCCACTCCGGATGGGTAGGAGCAATGGTTGGTAGTTTTGGGGTTTTCTGTCCAGAACTAAGGTTGCAGTTGGACTTCCCACTAAGATTGAACTAATCAGTTGTCATTTACATGCCCCTTATCTATGCTTATTTTTGCTTCATCTGTAGAAAAAAAATAAAATAAAGACAACTCAAATTCAACCCAACAAAGATTCAATTCCGATATTCTTGGAGTTATCAACTGTAATCAACAAACTTTAAAAAAATAATGTTACCATAATCATATATCACACTGAAAACCCCTGGACATAGCACCAACAAACAACTAACTAGCTCAATATGGACACACCAGTTACATCACCACAACCACCAAAGAAAAATAAAAGAAGTTTACTCATTGTACTCCTATGATGTGGTTATTTCATACAAGTGCAAGATGTTATCGTATATACAAGTCATTTCAACCAAGGAGTCGGTCAGTTTCAACAGGACACCTAAATGCCCAATTAATCAACAAAATTGTCAGAAATGCTTGAAACAATTTCTAATTCTTTATAAATGCCTTCATAGTTCATATTAACATCTCTTATTTCTAATTCAATCAAAGCATCAGGAATTCTTACATCTTGTTTCATCTTGCAAACCTAAGAAAAAAAATAATAACGCGGTAATCACTATTGAAAGTAACACTAATTGGAGGTCCAAAATTCTTAGACCTTGGCTTCAGAGACTGAAAAGCAAAAGCATTCCTAAAGTTGACGTTGTAAGAAATTAAGAGTAACTGCCTAATGGAACCCCTTATATAAATCTTAAAAAGCCGATATATTTCAATGTCACGAGTTGCAAAATTTCATGCAAAGATGTAATAATACATATACGATGATGAAATATAAGAAAATTTTCAGGAAAGGGCTCACTACTCACCAGAGGTGTGTAGGGGACATGGTGATGAAAAAAACCTGCTTCTTCAGGTGATCGACACTAGAAGCCACCCAATTTGCCCATGCCTCCATGGCCAGCTCCATGCCTCCTAACCCATCTATTTCTTCACAAACCCCATTCTCTTCAGTACTCCATCTGCAAAAATTACAGGTTCTGTTTATAGTTAGAGACCAATTCTTCATTGCATCTGAAACTGTGTCTCTTATACTTAAAAGATTGGATTGAGTCATACAACAGTTTGACAGACCCCTGTCTCCACCACAGATATGTATTGAAAACCAGGATATCAGCATGCTCCCATTGGGATGCATGCCTATGAACTGAATCTGGACGCATGATCCGTTCATCTAGTCTGTGATTCACTGGGTCATCAGAATTAGATTCAACCAGAAGTGGGGACCAGAGGAATTCCACAGTGGCATTGTACTCCTGCACACGAAGCAAACACATCAAATTTGAGCAATCTAAGATGAGAGTTTCAACATCAATGAAGCTACACCCTACATTATATCCTGAAACACAAGGGATACAAAAAACTTGAGGCACATATAATAAATTGAGGATATTTTATTAAATAATGTAAATACTTCCAATGCCACTGTAATATAAATTGAGGATGAATTTTGGATTACCTCTGCTCTGAAAATGGTAAGATGCGCATTTGGTGACATGGACCTCTTATCTGCCGGTATTACAGACTGCATCAAACACACCATTGAGATCCACTGTCCTCTATTGAGTGAATCCCCTACAAACATTAGTCTTTTGTCCCTCAACTTCTCCCACATCTCAGTCACGTTCCATCTACATGTCATAAAAACAATTTATGAAAAAAACCCAATTAAGAGAAAGCCCCAAACTGCAGCTTAGAAACATAATACCTCTTCAAATTGCAATTATGGGGTTGCCATCTCCAGTACTGGTACCCCAAATCTGGCCTTCCATGCTTATGACAAGCCAATTGGTCGGACATGTATGGACAATCAGACTCATTATAGAGTGGATAAGAAGTGTTATCAAACACCCATCTGCCGGAAAACAGGTCACATTTTTCCGCACTACCTCTCCTGATATCAGACTCCGATGAACCAACAACCCATCCAGCTTTCTTACCACTGTACTTTACAGTGGATCTGCACGAACTGAATCTATCCAAAACCACTACAAAAATTCCAAAACCCCATTTGAATCAAATGAATGAAGTAAAATTAACGAGACCCATTAAATCAAATCACAAGAAAATGGACACTACATATTCATTAATTTCAAAAAGGACAACAGAGGACTAAATTAAAATAAGTATAAATACAAACATATATGTTGGAGTCTGTGATATCACTTCGAAAATCCCAAATCCCCACATAACTCATCATATTAAAGAAACCCATTAAATCTAATCCCAAGAAAATGGATTCAACAAACATTCATTAAATCAAAATCAACCCGTACTGGAATAAACTAAGTGTAAATTTACCCAAACACATACATACATATATACACGTGACCTTGCGGGAAAGAGACGAACCTGGAGGTCTCTTTGGGAGGCTATGATTCAGAGGAGCTGTAGATTCGAATAGGGAGGTTTGCTTGAGCGAAGGTTGACTATGATCATCATCACCACCATCACCATCATGGGTTTGGTTTTGATGAATTTGTGAAATATTAAGTTCGTTGTAGAGGATTGAAGACCCTATGAAGACAAAGAAGACCAGTGCTATGAGAGGAAACTGGGTTTTCTTCTTGGGCCATCTCTGCATCATTGTAGAGAGAAGAGATTCAACGAAGACTGAATCTATGACTGAACTCTAATGCGATTTATTAAGCATGTTTTGATAATCACTCTTTTGAATTCGGACACCAGACAGTGATTCTCGTAAGTTGTAACGCTTGTATACAGTTATACTCACATTTATGATTCCCATATAAGTTGATACAGTACCTCTCGCACTATTAAGACCGATGCTCTTGCAATCCTGATCGGAGGTTAACTGTTGAAAAAATTACATATAGACGAAGTTAGGACTCTTTTTATAGTCCAAGGAGTCAAAGTTTTCAAATTTTAAAAGGGCAAATTTCTCAAAACCCCCCAAATTATTAAAAAGTGATCATAAAATCTCAACCAGTTTTTAAAACCTCCAATAATATAACAATATTATCATTTTACCCCAATTCTGTTAATTGAGGCCGTTAACTAGCGCGTGGTTAGCAATTGCTTTGCCAAATTGACTTTTGTGACGAAAATACTCCTGTTGTCACATGTGCCAAAAAAGTGATATTTATTTATATCTGTTATTCCGAAAATGCCCCCAAGCATCCCTTCTCTCCTCCATGCTTGAAATAGTTTTAGGAAACCCTAGTTCATCCCATTTTCTTGATTTTGGATGAAAATTTATAATTAAAAAATTACAACATTTACGATCTATTAGTTTTCTAGAGTGAAGTTCTTGATTTTGGTTGGCAATTTATAATTAAAATACTACAACATACAGAAACCAATGAATAATTTTGTTCTTGATTGTAATTTGAATGCGGCACACATTTGCAGAGCTTTCATTTTAAAATTTGAATAACTCAAAACCACATCCATTGCCCTCTTATCATTCTTGTAATCAATCCAAGCCGCGATCAGATTCCCACTCTTGAGAAACTTGAATAACTCAAAACCACATCCAATGTCTCTCTCTTCTTCTTCTCTATCATGCCTTTCTCTGTTTCGCCGGCCATTTTTTTTCCCGAGAAAGTGTAGGAAAATCCGAAATTACATCCTCTGAGCTTCATGGGGATTTTGTTGAATTTTGTTTCAACTCAATGCAAATGGGAAACTCGTAAGTTTTTTGTGTTCTTCATTCAAAATCTGCAACTTTACTAGATTTTCCTGAGAAATTATTCTGGAAATTGACTTCCTAACAAAAATCAACCATCTGGGTATTTGAAATTTTGTTTCAACTCAATGCAACGTGTGGAACTCATAAGATTTTTTGTGTTGTTCGTTCAAAATCTCCAACTTTACTAGATTTTCCTTCTTATTTTCCTGAGGGATTCTGCTGGAAATTGACTTCCTAACCAAAAACACCCATCTGGGTATTTCAAAATTTCACCAAATTTAGCTTTATTTGTGTAATAAATGGCGGAGGCTGAGGGAACCATGTTTCTCTGCAGGAGGTGGAGGAAGAAGATGTGGAGGTGAGTCTCGGGCTTTCGTTGAATGTTCGATTTGGGGTGGACCCAAATAGAGAGAGGAAGCTAATTCGCTTATCGTCCATATCGGGGTTCATAATGGCAGAGAATAACTACACGGCGTGGGTTTCGGAGCTAGTGGAGGTGTACGCGCCGCTGGGATTTCTGAATTGGAGTCTCAACCAATCAAAGGTATCAAGATTGAATGGCAACTACACCAACCAGTGGCTTTTCTTTCTTGCTCTCGAATCCCTAATCAGTTACTCCTACAAGCCCTCGCCGTCGTCTACGCCTCACCGGAAAATACCGCCGGATTTTAACACATTCTTAGACCCAAGACCAGAAAACCCAGTTACCCGCCGGAGACACAGCCGGATTTTCATGCTTCTTCCCCATTCCAATTCTTAACAAAAAGGGGCTGAAAAAGGCAAAGAGTGTTGATACCATTGCTCACCGACTTCGTGCATCGCCGAATATCATCGATTCCCTTTCACAGACCCATTTCGCAATTTTGGCATCGAGATCCGGCCACCGCCACCTCCAATCCACAACTCACAAGCCATCGATACTGCCGGTGGTACCCTGATTCGTAGCCGCCGTGTATATATATAGAGATATATATGTGTGTGTATATTGCTCAATTATAATTAATTGTTAATTAATTATTAATTATAATTGTTAATTACACTACTGGATTAAATCAAAAGGATAATATTGTAACTTGTAAAACATGATTTTTTGATTTTTTAAATAAAATGAAATATCATAAGGATAATTTAGTCATTTCACATACTTTAACGGTTCAAATGATAACGTTGTTATATTGTTGGGGGTTTTTAAAACTGGTTGGGATTTTATGATCACTTTTTAATAGTTTTGGGGGTTTTGAAAAATTTGTCCATTTCAAAATTACTGAAGTGAACCGGAATAAAAGAAGAACTGTGCATTATTTTGAGTTATTTAATAATGCCATTTTTATTTTTAAGTGCATGAGTTTAGGTTGATTTGCATTAAAATAGTATTTGCATATAATTTGTGACTAAAGTGAACAAAAGTGGCAACTGCACCTAAATTTTTAAAGGTGATATCTGATTGTATAAAAGTAATATTTAATTACATATAGGTTGGAACTGTGTGAATAAAACGAACAATAAAAAAAAAAAAATTTATTATTTTTTTCTCTAAACATAACTCCAACCAACTTTACAGACAGCTCAATGTCCTTTTGGGCCAAATGAAGATAGACAGTTTTGTTCATGCTTATCAAAGTAATTTTACAGAATTCGTCTAATTTAAAAATTTAAAGTTTTTGACTTCATGTAATTGTAAAAAGGGAGCTTAACTTCATGTATATGTAATTTTTTTTTTTTAGTTGTTGATTGATTGTTGGTATCAAAGAATATTGGGAATTTGGGACTTCTGTCGGTCCCACCTGAATCAACCTTTGGATACCAATTATGTCACGGCTAAAATGGGCAATTGGGAATTAAGACGCTTAGTTATTATCGAATGACATTTTATATAGTTAGTTAAATCTCGGTTTTAGAGGATATTTTTGGAAAAAAATTGGCATGTGGTGGATCGTGGAGGTCATAAATACAAACACAATAGGAAAATGATATTAAAGTCTAAAAAAGTCGTCGACCAGGCCGAAGGTAAGTTGACTTTAACAGAATGCAAAGACGTCGGCCCAACCAGTAGGTGTGTTTTGTGGGCTTGTGTATATAATTCTTAAAAACGTTTGTTAAAATTAAATCACAATTTTATGACTCTTTATATATATGCATATGACTATATGAGGCATCTCAGTTTGCACATACATAGTGGGTGGTCTTCTAGCAACAAGCTATGGCTTAAGCTTAAGCATATAGCTTGTGAGCAGACTGTTTTAGTGAGAACAGACATTGTTGGGCATGGTTTTAGTGATCCATGCCACTTTTATATATGCTAAGTGGGTTAATGTTTGTGGTACATTGCCATGGTTGGACACGACAAAGGCAAAGTTTTTTGAAATAAGGATCACGTGTCATCTAAGTCACAATCCTTTTGAACGGAGTCGCTTTTTTACTTTGCGTGTTTTTTTACTCTCGTCCCTGATTTGCTCTTGTTCCTGATCACACTACATGTGACTTTAATTTTGCTGCTCTCGTACTCTTGCTTTCGCATTCGCTCCCGCACCCACTGTGTGACTCAGAGTGTACCAAATTTGTGTAGGGCTAATAGTTAGTAGCACTTGGTGGTTTATGGCTCCATAGCAACAAGTGTTAGTTTCAAGCATTAATTAGTGGCTGCATATGGGGTCACTCACACTTGGTGGGACAAGCAATGGGCATTGAGTTACAATTGGCTTGGCCAAGTGTTGCTGCATGACACGAGGACCTAACAATGAAATCCAAACCTTGCACATGATGACATTACAAAAGGACAAACGTGACAGAAGGACAAAGCATGAGTGTAGTTCTGGGCATACACTAGATTGGTCGTGAGAAAAATCAATCATGAAATGGTATCTTGGGGAATAGCCAACAGGACAAATATAAATGAGAATTTATTAATTAAACAATAGTGATGTAAATGAGAATTTGTTTGCTTGTTTGTTTGTTTTTTTTCTTTTCTTTCCTGTAATGAGAATTTGTTGAAAGGCCCCTAGTATGTAGGTGACACCTGAGGTGTCTACAATGTGATAACAAAACAAGGCAACTGGCTAACAATTATGACTTCAACATGTGCGCTGGTAGTGCTAGCATTACCAACCTCTTATAGGCAAGGTTGGTTGGAACTAATTCAGATTTAAATCAGAGAAAAGGGTCAGCAAATTGGACTTCTCACACCATTATAAATTATTGAATTTTCTTGTTTGCCATGGATATTTTTTCTCTCTCTAGTTTATTCAGAGTTATCTAGGCTTTTGACTCTTGAATACAGAAGTTGTACAAACCTAAAAAGATTCTTGAATGTAGGCATAGAGTAGCTCATTCCAAGTATCAGGCACACCAGGAAGGCACCAGTGGGAGCAATCTGCATAACTCCTAGGATTCGATAATTGCTCTTCAGTTATAGGCGTAAAGTGCCTCCTGTATATAGATGGGTGGCCTTCTTTTCTGTACTCTGAAAGTTGAGTTATGTCGAGCATTTGTACCTTCAAGCCTCTTGTTTTCAGTTCATCGATTGCTGCCTCCACTGCTCTCATCAGTCTAGGATCCGAATCGCTTCCTTGACATCCATCTTTAAAAATTGGCATTGTTTCACTGTAGCAATTATCATTTGTTCCCATGCCCCAGTCTTTACCCCTGCAAAGTTATAAATCTAATTATTTTGTTGATAAAGATGGTAATAGTATTGGTAGCAGTAATAACAACACTCTAAATATTAGTAACAATAAATCAACTGAGCTACTCATGAACAGTTTGGGTTCCATTCAGTTGAAAGTATATTCAGACTTCGTTCGTTTTAGAAAACAAGTAAAGCTCAAATTCATTTTCTACGGATGTTCAGTAAACAAGCTGAGTAGTACCCAGCTAGGTTCGCATATCCAAACAATTCAAACATTAGATAAGATCTCATCCTCTCCTCTTACTCTCTCTCATAGGTTCTCATCCCTCTCATCCGCTACCAGCCCTTTCCCTCTCTCTTCCAGCAAAAATAATTGTTTTTTGGGCTTAAATGTGACCAAACACATCTCAATTTTAATTGGAAACCATAATGTGATATGGAGACCCAGCAATCAAATCTAAATAAAAAAGCTACTTTACCATTGGTGCATTGGTGACATGCTAACAAAAAACAATTTGGTCTTGGTGTACAGTTGATATGAATTTCCAGCCAATCTGACCATGTCTTTAGAGCCATCTCATAGCTACGTATCATATCAATTTCTTTGTAGATTCCATCAGAGCTTTGAAATGATCCACACCTGATCATTGTCATATCAGAACAAATGCATCAGATTTGAAGCTAATACCATCAGTCCAAATAAAAAGTTTCATCTTCCATCAGATGGTGTAAATGATGCTCTAAGAATGAACTTACAAAACCTTCATTTTGGGTCTTAGCCACCAAACATAGGAATCAAAGACTAGTATATCAGCATTGGTCCAGTGCCTAGCATGCTTTTCAATTGCCTGGACTCTGACAATCCGGTCAGGTAGCCGATGGTTTAATGGAACATCGGAGTTAGATTCTACTAGCAATGGGGACCAATAAAAATCAATAGTAGCATTGTATTCCTAAATTACATTAACAAACAATCAGCCACTGGGGAGTTAGTCACAAAAACAAGTACTGGATGGTCAGCAGGGATTTTAACTCACAGTGGCCTTGAAGGTTATCAGAGAACCATTTAACTTGTAATTCCTGGATTTGAGCCCTTGAGGGATGGATGACTCCACTAAGCAGACCAGTGAAACCCATTGGTCCCTGTTCAGCGAATCCCCGAATACCAGCCTCTTTCCTCTTAGCCTCTCCAGCAATGCTGTGGCATTGAACCTTTTGACACAATATTATTTCCCAAAACTTGGAAATTCAAAAGACAGCTAAAAGTCTCATAATCATATATATATATATTAAATGTGTGTGTGTGTAATGCATGAGAGAGAGAGAGAGAGAGACCTTGGGAGGTCACGCTGGTGAGGTTGCCATCTCTAATTCTGATAATTCAAGTCCTTTCTCCCATACTTCTCACAAGCAAACTCATCCCGCATATATGGGGGCATTGCTGCTCCTTGTATAGAGGGTAGGACTTCTTATCAAATACCCATTTGCCTGCAAACAAATTGCAGTGTGACGATGAGTTCTTCCCCGTTGTCTGATCTTCTAGCAACTGTCCACGTTCGGATCCTGTTAGATAAATGGCAGCTATAAGTAAGACCAGGATGAATAAAGCAATGAGGGGATGAAAGCTGCATTTAGTTCCCCACACTCTGGACACCATTTGTTGTGTGTTCGCCATATATTCAGAATCCTCTTCCCCTTTGTGCAATATGATATTTTGATGAATGAGGAGCAGTTGAATTCCATTACATTGGTGAGCAGTTGGCTTAGTTTAAACAATATTTATGTAGTTCTTATGAAAGATTTACTCCCTCCATCCCGAATTAAATGTCTCTTTTTGGGAATCTAATTTTTTAAGTGGATGAGTTTTAATTTTTTTTTTATTATATTGATAGTGAATGAATTACCAAATCTATCCATTATAGGTCCACGTGATGTGATGGTTTACTTTTTATAATTTCAAATGGAAGAAGGATAAATGGGTAATCTTACAACAAATAGTACTTCCACTTTTCAGATGAGACATTTATTTTGGGACAGAGAGAGTATTAATTATAATTGTAACAAAGAGACAAACTTGAAGGTGCTGTAATGCAACTAGTATATTTTTCTGTTTTGATACCTTTCAAAAAAAAAAAAAAAAAGGTACTAGGTTTTGATGTTAGCATAAACAATACAATTTCACTGTCACAAATGCCCCAAAACCAAAACTTTTAATCTTGTCAAAGGAAAACTAGCATTATGATTGGTTATCACGCTAAAGTGTCACATCAAGTTTGTAGCAATCACATGGTGCTTGGACAATGAAATCGAAATTAGAGATGATTAATTGTATTCTTTTTGACACCAAGCAGGATCCAGTCTAATGGAGTATTGTTCTTTAGAAGTATTATTGTTAATCCTTTCGCAACCTCATATCACTATTATACTCATTTGTTACTTCAATGACCAGAAAAAAACAAGAAAAATGGTGCTTCCCCATAAAAGATTGGCTGGCATAATTGATTTTTTATTGTTAATCTTGATATTGATTTAACTATGACAGTAAGAGAGTCATGCTAAGTCCCTTGTATCACATGGTTTACTTTAAATTATGCAAAGATCCTGATATTTAGATATTAAGTTATTCTTTCATGAGAACTTGTTAAAAGGTCCCAAGTGTGTTGGTGACTACCTGAGGTGTCTGCAATGTGATACCAATACATAGCAATTGGTCATTTCTAAGGAATAACAGAGTAGAAAAGGGTTTAGTAAAAATTGGACTTCTCACTTCATTATAAATTATTGAATTTTCTTGTTTGCCATAAATAATTTTCTCTCTCTAGTTTCTTCAGAGGAATTCTATGCTTTTGAGTTTTGACTCTTAAATACAAAGTTGTACAACCTAAAAAAATCTTGAATCTAGTAAGTAGGCATAGAGTAGTTCATTCCAAGTATCAGGAACACCAGGAAGGCACCAGTGGGCACAATCTGCATAACTAATAGGATTTGATAATTGCTCTTCAGTTAGAGGCACCCATTGCCTCCTGTATATAGAGGGGTGGCCTTCTTTTCTGTACTCTGAAAGTTGAGTTATGTTGAGCATTTGTACCTTCAAGCCTTTTGTTTTCAGTTCATCGATTGCTGCCTCCACTGCTCTCATCATTTTTGGATTCGATCCGCTACCTTGATATCCCTCTTTGAAAATTGGCATTGTTTCACTGTAGCAATTATCATTTGTTCCCTTGCCCCATTCTTCACCCCTGCAATTTTATAAGTCTTATTATTTTGGTGATAAAGATGATAATAGAATTAGTAGCAGTAATAAGAACACTATAAATATCAGTATGAGTAAATTAACTGAGCTACTCATGAACAGTTTGGGTTCAATTCAATGGATAGTTGTTTATTCAGACACACATTTTTAGAAAACAAGTAGAGCTCAAGCTCAATTTCTAAGGATGTTCAGTGAACAAGCCGAGCTCGAGCAGTACCCATCCAGGCTCACATAGACTCTCACTCTCCTATCCAAACAACTCAAATATTAGATAAGGTCTCATCACTCTCATCTGCTATCATTCCTTTCCTCTCTCTTCCAGCATAAATACTTGGTTGAATAGAGTGCTCCAATTGGGCTAAATGTAACCAAATACAATTCAATTCTAATTGGTCTAGTGACATGATGACCTACAATTTCAGGCTTTTACAGCATTGTATTTTTATGTTCATGTTTTGCAAGTGAAAACCATAATTTGATACGGAGACTCAGCAATCAAATCTATATTAAACTGGGAGTAAAGTTTTGATCAGCTTTTAACATGGTTTAGTACTCAGACCAAGCATAATTTTTTTAAAACTAAGATCATGAAGGCCCTTTTACCGCTTTTGGTGGCATCGGAATCAAGTTTTGCATGAAGGAATATCCAATAATGCAGCTCAATCTGCTCAAATAATTAGTATATGATTCTTGGTTTTGCTCTGCTTGTAGGTTATATTGTATGCGCGGCTGGGCTGTTGGCTCTTGTATTTTCTGGTGCTTGTTTCCTTCTGTTTTGTTTGGTTGTTGTTGTTTGAAGGTTTCTGGAAGTGGTTCTTCCAATGAGCTGTGTTGTTTGTAGTGGTGTTCTTTCCCCGTTGGTTTGTTCTTAATAAAAAGTTACTTTGGAAAAAAAAAAAAAACTGGGAGTAAAAGCTACTCTACCGTAAGTGAGTTGGTGACATGCTAACAAAAAATAATTTGGTCTTGGTATGGTTGATATGAATTTCCAACCAATCTGACCATGTCTTTAGAGCCATCTCATAGCTACGAATCATCTCTATTTCTTTGTAGATTCCATCAGAGCTTTGAAATGATCCCCATCTGAAAAAATACATCAGATTAGAAGCTAATATAATCAGTCCAAATAAGAAGTTTCATCTTCCATCAGAAGCTGTAAATGGTGTTCTAAGAATGAACTTACAAAACCTTCATTTTGGGTCTTAGCCACCAAACATAGGAGTTGAAGACTAGTATATCAGCATCAGTCCAGTGCCTAGCGTGCTTTTCAATTGCCTGGACTCGGACAATCCGGTCAGGTAGCCGATGGTTTACTGGATCATCAGCGTTAGATTCCACTAGCAATGGGGACCAATAGAAATCAACAGTTGCATTGTATTCCTAAATTACATTAACAACCGATCAGCCATTAGAGAGGAAGTCACAAAAACTAGTACTGGATGGTTAATGGGGATTTTGACTCACAGTGGCCTTGAACGTCATCAAAGAACCATTTAACTTGAAATTCCTGGATTTGAGTTCTTGAGGGATCGATGATTCCACTAAGCAGACGAGTGAAACCCATTGGTCCCTGTTCAGCGAATCCCCAACGAACACAAGCCTCTTCCCCCTTAGCCTCTCCAGCAATGCTGTGGCATTGAACCTGTTGACATAGTATTATTTCAAAAAAATTGAGAATTCAAAATCCATCTCAAAGTCTCATCATCATACATGTGTGTGTGTAGTGCATGAGAGAGAGACCTTGGGAGGTCACACTGGTGAGGTTGCCATCTCCAATTCTGATAATTCAAGTCCTTTCTCCCATATTTCTCGCAAGCAAACTCATCCCACATATATGGGCATTGCTTCTCTTTGTATAGAGGGTAAGACTTGTTATCAAATACCCATTTGCCCACGGACAAATTGCAGCGTGAGGATGAGTTCTTCCCTGTTGTCTGATCTTCTAGGAACTGTCCACGTTCATATCCTGTGAGATAGATGGCAGCTATAAGTAAGGCCATGATGAATAAAGCAATGAAGGGATGAAAGGTGCATTTAGTTCCGCACACTCTGGGCACCATTTGTTGTGTGTTTTCATTCACCATTCTCTTCCCCAGGAGCAGTTGAATTGAATTATATTGGTGGGCAGTTGGCTTAGTTTAAGCAATCTAACAAGGATTGTCCGAGGAGAACACAAATATTCTTTAGTTCTGATGAAAGATCTGTTAATTATTTGTATGAAAGAGTCAACTTCTTGTGCTGTAATGCAACTCGAATATTTTCTTATAGAATTCTTAACACTAATAATTTGTATGTGAGCAGTTAAAGTGTCACATTAGGTTGTGGTGGTTGGCCTAACCAAATACAATTTCACTGTCACGACAGCTCCCAAAGAAGAGCTTTTAATCTTGTAAAAGGGAAACTAGCATTACGACTGGTTATCACACTAAAAAGCCAAATCAAGTTTGTTGCAATCACATGGTTTACTTTGACAATTAGAAAGAAATTAGAGATGATTAATTGTATTATTTTTAATCCTTTGGCAACCTACTATCACTATTATACTCATTGGTTACTTCATTGACCAGAAATAAATAAATAAATAAATAAATTGACATTTCACCTGAAAAGATTGGCAATTTTTATTTATTTATAATCTTGATAATGTTTTAAACTATGACAGTAAGAGAATCATGCCAAGTCCCTTGTATTATGCAAAGAGATCGGAGAAGCAGGTACCCTTCACTGCACAATGCAAGATTCTGATATTTAATTGTTCGTTAAGAATTGTTTATAACGCATGCTCTTGATACAACTTCTTCTTCTTTTTTTTTTTTTTTTTTTTTTAAATAAAAAATTCCCCAAGTGAACTACATTAAAAACCAAGCAAACCTTGCAAACAGGAGGAGGCAAACCCATTACCCCTCAAAAACAACAGAAACTGAAAAAACCCATTTCCAGAAAACTACAGAATAGAGCAACCATACAAAAAATAGAGCAAAAGGAAAAGAACACCAACAAACAATTGAGCAAGGCACCCAAAAAAACATTACACCAGTTTAAGCCATCACAGCAAACTATACAAAAAAAATGAAAAATATTAAAATATTATCGAGTACTTACAGAACTTTCAATGTGGGCAATCTCCTCCATTGATACGAGTATATCTGCATCAATCCTATCCGGTGCGTAGCATGTTTTTCAATACCATTTATTCTTGAAAAAAAAATACCATTTATTCTAACAATTCGATCCCATATTTGATGGTTTGATGGATGGATCGTCGCCAATAGATTCGACTACCATTGGGACCCTATAGTAAACCCTTGTCCCCTCCTCAAAATTTACGGTATCTCATATCCAGATACTTTAAAATTTTATTTAGTTGATGATTTTAAAATTGTTTTTAAAAATTGAGTTAAAAGCAAAACAGTCAATTTAAATTCTTTAAAAACAATAATAACCTATATTCAAAATTATAAAATCTAATAATAATAAAAATAAAATAAAATAAAATAAAATAAAGTACAACTCTTTAGAAGTACAAGTAGTGCCCTTGAAAATAGGACCATTTAACCACAGTTACTTTGTGCTTTTACTTTGACCCGAAAAAGAAAAATGTTTCTGTTTTTAGAGTATGTTTAACATTATTTAGAAACTTGTTTGGTAATGTAAATTTGTTACAAGATTTTAGAAACAAAACATGAAAACATGTTTGGTAAAAAGTGTCGTAAGTTTGAAAATTTTGAATACTTAGTTAAAAATATTATTTTAGAATTTTTATTTTTATTTTTTTTGAACAGTGTTTTGTTATAGTGCAAAAGTTATCAAAAGTATTATTTTGATACTTCTAATTTTTGCCTCAATTTTGAAAGCGTTTCGATACTATTTAAGAGCACAGCAAATATTACTAAACATATTTCGCTATTTTACTTCGTTGTAATACATTACATTAGCAAAAATCACGTTATAAAAGACACAAAATGTAGCACCGAATCTTGTGTACTATTTACAATATACGAAGTAGATTTTAACTGATATTGGGTGAGAGCTTTGCAATTTAGACTATCCTTTCGGATTGAATTGTAAAGTTTTCTCATACAGCACTTGGGCCTTCCGCGATTCAGGCCCATAATTGGGGTGAGTTGATGACGCGTAATGATAGGTGGTGCTCCTTGATTGGGTGTCGAACTCTTATTGGTGGAGATTTCCACCCCTACGCCACTAAATGTATATAAGTGTACCAAACAAAAGCTAAGGTCAACTTGGAACAAGTATGAGTAGTGCAGGAGCATTTAAAACTTCTTTGCATCATAACGAAGGAAAAGTTGGTAACTAATGTACATTTTGGCCTTATTATTGCTAAAATTCTAACATTCTATTGTATCTATAAGTAAGAAAATATAGAATTTTGTATTTGTATAATTTTTGTTTAGATTGTCTTATGAAATGTATGCGTAATAGAAATATGGACTCACGGTGGCCTTGAAGGTGTACAAGGGGCCTTGAAAGTTATTGGATTTGAGTCCTTGTGCGATGGATGTCTCCACCAGGCAGACCATTGAATCCCATTCGTTTCTGATTCAGTGAATTGCCCATAAACACAAGTCTTTTACCCCTTAGCCTCTCCACCAATTCCATGGCATTGAACCTTGCATTTCAACCATGAAAAATCCAAAAATGTCAAAAAACACAGCCTAGCTCAAATAGACAATACATGACCTTAATTTCCATCATATACATATATGTCTGTTGGTAAACAGAAAATTCTAAAGAAGAAAAATTAAACACATCATATGTATCACGTTAGGAGAGTTATCATGTGTGTGTGTGTGTGTATGTGTATGTGTATGTGTGTGTGTGTGTGTGAGAGAGAGAGAGAGACCTTGGGAGGTCACAATCATTGGGTTGCCACCTCCTGTACTGATAATTCAAGTCCGTCCTGTCACAAGCAAAATCAACAAACAATAGTGAACACTCTTGATCTTTGAACAAAGGTTTTAGTACTAGGCATTATGTTTCAACTGTGATCAGTTCTTGATCACATAACCTTTATAGACAAGGTTGGTTGGAACCAAGTCAGATTTAAAACATAAACCTCTTCAATACAGAACCTAAAAAGTCTTGAAAGTTGGTTTGGCCTTGCTACATCAATAATGAAGAAGGTACGCATAGAGGAGCTCATTCCAAGTATCAGGCACACCAGGAAGGCACCAGTGGACACAATCTGCATAACTCGTAGGGTTTGATAATTGGTCTTCAGTTATAGGCACCCATTGCTTCCTGTATATAGATGGGTGGCCTTCTTTTCTGTACTCTGAAAGTTGAGTTATGTTGAGCATTTGTACCTTCAAGCCTCTTGTTTTCAGTTCATCAATTGCTGCCTCCACTGCTCTCATCATTTTAGGATTCGATCCGCTTCCCTGATATCCCTTTTTAAAAATTGGCATTGTTTCACTGTAGCAATTCTGATTTGTTCCCATGCCCCATTCTTCACCCCTGCAATGTTATAAATCTAGTTAATTTGTTGATAAAGATGATGACAGTAGTAGTAATAAGTAAAACTATAAATATTAGAAGCATTATTATCAATATATAAATCAACGGAGCTACTCATGAACAGTTTGGGTTCATTTAGAAAAAAAGGTAGAGCTCAAGCTCATTTTCTAACAAGCTAGCTCGAGTAGTACCCAGCTAGGCTCATATTAGTCTCTTGCTCTCATATCCAAACAACTCAAATATTAGATAAGGTCTCATCCTCTCCTCTCACACTCTCTCGTATGTTCTCATCCCTTTCCCTCTCTCTTCCTGCAAAATTACTTGGTCCACGTGGACAGAGGCCTCCATGTGGGCTAAATGTGACCAAACACAACTCAATTTTAATTCATCTCGTGACATGATGACTTACTTATAGCACTGTATTTTTATGTTCATTTTTTGCTATAGAAAATCAAATTTTGATATGAAGACTCAGCAATAAAAAATCTAAATCAAACTGGGAGTTAAAGCTACTCTACCGTTGGTGCGTTGGTGACATGCTAACAAAAAACAATTTGGTCTTGGTACGGTTGATATGGATTTCCAACCAATCTGACCATGTCTTTAGAGCCATCTCATAGCTACGTATCATATCAATTTCTTTGTAGATTCCATCAGAGCTTTGAAATGATCCCCACCTGATCATTGTCATATCGGAACAAATGCATCAGATTAGAAGCTAATACAATCAGTACAAACAACAAGTTTCATCTTCCATCAGATGCTGTAAATGACGCTCTAAGAATGAAGTTACAAAACATTCATTTTGGTTCTTAACAGCCACCAAACATAGGAATCAAAGACCAGTATATCAGCATCAGTCCAGTGCCTAGCATGCTTTTCAATTGCCTGGACTCTGACAATTCGGTCAGATACCCCATTGTTTCCTGGATCATCGGAGTTAGATTCCACTAGCAATGGGGACAAATAGAAATCAATAGTGGCATTGTATTCCTAAATTACATTAACAAACAATCAGCCTTTGGAGAGGAAATCAAAAAAATTAGTACTGGATGGTAAACGGGGATTTTGACTCACCGTGGCCATGAAGTTGATCAAAGAACCATTTAACTTGTAATCCATGGATTTAAGCCCTTGAGGAATTGATGACTCCACTAAGCAGACCAGTGAAATCCATTGTTCCCTGTTCATCGAATCCCCAACGAGTACAAGCCTCTTCCCCCTTAGCATCTCCAGCAATGCTGTGGCATTGAACCTTTTGACATTATTTTATTTCACAAAACTTAGAAATTCAAAAGCCATCCTTAGAAATCCAAAAGCCATCTAAAAGTTTAATTATTAGATATATGTGTGTGTAATGCATGAGAGAGAGAGAGAGAGAGAGAGAGAGAGAGGAACCTTGGGAGGTCACACTGGTGAGGTTGCCACCGCCAACTCTGATAATTTAAGTCCTTTCTTCCATACTTCTCACAAGCAAAATCATCCCGCATATATGGGCATTGCTTCTCTTTGTATAGAGGGTAAGACTTGTTATCGAATACCCATTTTCCCGTGAACAAATTGCAGCGTGACGATGTGTTCTCCTCTGTTGTCTGATCTTCTAGCAACTGTCCACGTTCAGTTCCTGTTAGATAAGTGGCAGCTATAAGCAAGACCGTGATGAATAAAGCAATGATGGAATAAAAGCTGCATTTGGTTCCCCACACTGTGGGCACTATTGGTGGTGAGTTAGCCATTCACAATCCTCTTCCCCTCTGTGCAATCTGATCTTTTGATGAATGAGGAGCAGTTGAATTGCATTATATCGGTGGGCTGGGCAGTTGGCTTAGTTTAAGCAATATAAAAAAGATTGTATGACTAAAACGTGTTAATATTTATGCAGGATCCACAATCTTTAAGAAGTAGCATTTTCATTCCTTCGGTAACCTTGTCACTATTATACTCATTTCTTACTTCATTGACCAGAAAAAAATATAATAAAATTAACGTTTCACAAGAAAAGTTTGGCTGGCATAATTGATTTTTTTTTTTCTTTAATCTTGATATTGGTGAAACTATGACAGTAAGAGAGTCATGCTAAGTCCCTTGTATCACATGATTTAATTTAATTATGCAAAGAGATCAGAGAAGCAGGTACGTTTTACTGCACAATGCAAGATCCTGAAATTAAGTTATTCCTGAGTCTTCTACCTCTTCACCCTCTCTTTCTAAAACTCTCACCTTTCTCTCTCTAAAATTGCTGATGCGGGGAATGACCTCTGCTCCACAAACCCGGTCTTACCCACATGCTTAGCCTTAATGTCTACCTCATCAATTGCTCCAGGCCTGTTTTCATAAAAAAATTGATCATGGTCCGGAGTTGATTTTAGAGGTACAAGTGTGGCTACCCCATAAAAAAATGGAAACAAAATCAGAGCAATTTTTTCTAAAAAGTTCCAACTTTTATTATGGGTTTATTTCATCTAACTGCGTCAGATTATGTTCTAGTAGCAACAAAAATAGTTTACTAATATTTTCATTTCATTTGTAGTTTAAATTGGACTAATTGATGGATCTGCATGCCTTCTAGTCTTCTAATATCAGCATCTAGTACCAGCCATTCTTATGCATTGATTGGAAAAAGACCAACAATTACACCATGAGCACAGTGCTCCACCTTATAAAAGTGAAACAAGTCCATAAAAATAAATAAATAAAAGAGAAGAAGATCCAAAATCTAACAATCCCTCAACCCATGCCCAATTTGAGCAGCCTCTTCACCCAAATTCAACCAAAATCCAAGAAATTTATAAAACCCAAATCAAATTTCTACTCAACCCCATTTCCGGAATCACCAAATTGAATATACAAATCCCAATTACATACATATACATATATGTAAAGATCCAGAAACAAGATGTAGAGCACATACCTGATGGATTGGTGGATACAGAGGATTAGTGCAGACAGGACATTCTAGCAGTTCGTGGACGCTTGTGGCCGAGGTAGGAACACCAGGAGCTGTAGTTCTTGAGGAGCTTGCGACGGAAGCGCCGGAGGACGGTGGGGTCGAGGGAGTCGATGTTGTGGATGGAATGATATTGTAGGATTGCTCAGATTGGTTGGGTTGGAGTGATCTGTTGGGTGGGCGGTAGGTGGGCATGAACTGAGGCACGGTCTGGTTTTAGAGAGAGAGCCGAGAGTGATAGAAAGAGAGGGTGAAGAGGAAGATGATCCAGGGGTATTTTTGTAATTTTAAAATAATAATTACATTATAAGTTTTTAATTTAATATTAAATTATAAAGTCAATTTTGAAATTTCTACACCGGATTAAAAAAAAAAAAAAAAAAAACATTGCACAGTGCAACCAGCACAGTACATGTGCAACTTGAGTTACTTGTTGATAACTCTTTTTTTTATTTTTTAATTCAATAAGTTTTTTTTAATTCTAATAGAGATTTTATGCGATTTTATTTAAAAATAGAAAATATTTTTGTGATATAAACCCCTTTTTCATTTGCCCAAGTAAACTTCATTAAAACCAACCAAACCCCTGGAGGAGAGAAACCCTTGAACAAACAGAATATCGGAAAATCCCAATTCTAAGGAACTGCAGAATAGAGCGACCATACAAAAAATATAGCAGAAGGAAAAGAACAGCAGCAAACAAATGATGATTTCGTTTTGTATGATTTTTCGAGGTTTGTTGGAGCCAAGTCAGATTTAAATCACAGAAAAGGGGTTAGCAAATTGGACTTTTCACTTCATTATAAATTATTGAATTTTCTTGTTATAGGCTTTTGACCAGTTTAATACAAAACTCGTACAACCTAAAAAATGTTGAAAGTTGGTTTGGTCTTGCTACATCAATAATGAAGAATGTAGGCATAGAGAAGGTCGTTCCAAGTATGAGGCACACCAGGAAGGCACCAGTGTGTACAATCTGCATAACTCCTAGGATTTCTGTAACTTGTGTTATGTTGAGCATTTCTACCTTCAACCCTCTTGTTTTCAGTTCGTCGATTGCTGCCTCCACTGCTCTCCTCATTTCAGGCTTCGAGTTGCTTCCCTGATATCCCTCTTTAAAAATTGGCATTGTTTCATTGTAGCAATTATCATTTGTTCCCATGCCCCACTCTTCACCACTGCAATCTTATAAATCTAATCATTAGTTTCTTGATACAGATGGTCATACAGTATTAGTAGCAATTACAACATCACTATAAATATTAGTCGCGGGACTGTAAATAAAACAAAGCTACTCAAGAACAGAGGGAGGGCATAGCATTGTATTTTTTATGTTCAGTTTTTTGCTATTGAAAACCATTATTTGATATGGAGACTTAGCAATCAAATCTAAATCAAACTGGGAGTTAAAGCTACTCTACCGTTGGTGCATAGGTAACACGCTAACAAAAAACAAATTGGTTTTGGTATGGTTGATATGAATTTCCAACCAATCTGACCATGTCTTTAGAGCCATCTCATAGCTACGTATCATATCAATTTCTTTGTAGATTCCATCACAGCTTTGAAATGATCCCCATCTGAAAAACCATGCATCAGATTAGAAGCTATATAATCAGTCCAAATAAGAAGTTTCATCTTCCATCAGAAGCTGTAAATGGTGTTCTAAGAATGAACTTACAAAACCTTCATTTTGTGTCTTGGCCACCAAACATAGGAACTGAAGACCAGTATATCAGCATCAGTCCAGTGCCTAGCGTGCTTTTCAATTGCCTGGACTTGGACAATCCGGTCAGGTAGCCGATGGTTTACTGGATCATCAGCGTTAGATTCCACTAGCAATGGGGACCAATAGAAATCAATACTTGCATTGTATTCCTAAATTACATTAACAAACGATCAGCCATTGCACACAAACTACTACTACTGGATGGTCACGGGGGATTTTACCCCACAGCGGCCTTGAAGGTGATCAAACAACCATTTAACTTGTTATTCATGGATTTGAGCCCTTGAGGGATTGATGAGTCCACTAAGCAGACCAGTGATACCCATTGTTCCCTGTTCAGCGAATCCCCAACGAACACAAGCCTTTTGCCCCTTAAGCCTCTCCAGCAATGCTGTGGCATTGAACCTTTTGACATAAAATTATTTCACAAAAACTTGGAAATTTAATAGCCACCCAAAAGTATCATCATCGTGTGCGTAGTGCGTGCATGAGAGAGAGAGGGGGGGAGGCAGAGGGAGGGAGAGAGAGAGAGAGACCTCGGGAGGTCACACTGGTGAGGTCGCCACCTCCAATTCTGATAGTTGAAGTCCTTTCTCCCATACTTCTCACAAGCAAACCCATCAAACATATATGGGCATAGCTGCTCTTTGTATAGAGGGTAAGACATGTTATCAAATACCCATTTCCCTGCGAACAAGTTGCAGCGTGATGTTGAGTTCTTCCCTGTTGTCTGATCTTCTAGCAACAGTCCACGTTCCGATCCTGTTAGATAAATGGCAGCTATAAGCAAGACCATGATGAATAAAGCAATGTGGGGATGAAAGCTGCATTTAGTTCCCCGCACTCTGAGCACTTCTTGTTGTGAGTTGGCCATTCATGAATCACAGTCCTTTCCCCTTTGTGCAATCTGATCTTTGATGAATGATAAGCAGTTGAACAGCATTATATTGGTGGGCAGTTGGGTTGGATTGTGTGACTAAAACAAGTTAATATTTATGTAGTTCTGATGAATGATCTGTTAATTATACTTGTATCAAAGATGCAACTAGTATATTTTTCTATATAGTTCTCAACACAAGTATTAATTTGTATCTGAGCAGTTGAAGTATCACATTTGGTATGTTACTCCAAACAGGGCTTGGATTAGAGAATCTTACCATCTCAGGTGATGATCATTGGTATTAAGGTTGTGGTAGTTAGCGTAACATTTCATTATTTTATTCCTTCCCTCTCATATTCACATTTCCTTTTATGGTGTCCCAATTAATTATTCCATTTGAAAAGTGAAAACAATACAAATGTTATCTTTCATAATTAACCTTTTATGTTTTACAAAATTTCAAAACCTATTAATATAGGTATATATTTAAACTTGAAAGCCTCCAAGAGGAGAAGAAGCGCATATCTTATTATAGGCCATTACATTAGGAGAAGAGACATATATATTATTATATTACTCTCTTTGTCCCATTTTAGGAGTCCACATTTATTTTTATGTGTGTCCCAAATTAGTTGTTTCATTTGAAAAGTGAAAGCAAAACAAATGTTATTTTTCATAATTGCACTTTTAAGTTTTAAAAAATTTCAAAACCTATTAATATACACATTTAAACTTGAAAGACTCCAATAGGATACGAGACCGATATCTCATTGTATGACTCCATCTGTCATATATTAATAGTCCACATTTCCATTTATGGTTGTCCCGAATTAATTGTTCAATTTGAAAAGTGAAAGCAAAACAAATGTTTTCTTTCATAATTACCATTGTAAGTTTTCAAAACCTATTAATTTACATATTTAAACATGAAAGTACAACTTGGTAAATTTAAAACGGGACAATGCATATCCCCCTTAAAATGTCCTAAATAGCAAAATTGGACAATTAATATGGGACGGAGATATTTTTTTTACATGTATTTTCAAGGTAGTTCAACCATAAGACAATTAAAGTGGTCACATAAGGCTTCTCCAATTGATGCTCCATATCACATTATAGTAGTTTTATATTTATTTTAATGAATTAATCATGTTTCTTGTATTATATTAATTATCAAATAAATACAACCGCGCTTATATTGGTCAATACAAGTTTCTTTAATAGTATTAACTATATATATGTACTCTCTTTATCTCATATTAGTAGTTCATTTTTTAAGGATGTTCCAAATTAGTTGTCCCATTTAAAAAGTTAAAGCAAAACAAATGCTTTATTTTTATAATTATACTTTAAGTTTTCAAATTTCTCTTAACTTAGTAACACACACACACACACATATATATATATTTAAACTTAAAAAGACTTCCTGATAATTTTGTACTCTCTTCTAAAACACTATCTACTAAGTTTTTTTTAAAAAATAAGTAAGAATTTTTATATCCTCTTGAGCGTAAATTGTGTGCTGTTTACAAAATGCAGGATCCACAGTATTGTTCTTTATATATTAGTATATTTTTAATCCTTCAGCAATCTACCATCACTATTACACTCATTTATTTAAAGCCACCACAGCAAACTATAACCTCGAGGCCTGATAATGTCCAGCATATCCAGCGGATATATTCTAATTGTATCAGTAATTGCCGAAATAACACTTCTACCATGTTAGATTATACATGTACTATTATAACACTCACCTACTCTTAACCCTCTCCTATAAAAATACACCTTATGTACTGTTCACATTTACAATACAATGTACAATTCTAATATATTCTAACATCTCTGATTAAATAGCACTTTATGAAACTTCACCATGAAGGATTTGATTCCTATTCCACAGTATATGCCACATAGTAGAAGTGGACATCATTTATTTGACAAGTACGAGTTTGGGGATGTACACAGCCTTAACTACTCATGCGGAAAGGATGTCTCCGTACTTTGAACCCGTGACCTCAAGGTTTGTTTGTTAGAAATAAGTCAGATTTAAATAACATAAAAGGGTTAACAAATTGGACTTTTCTATTCATTATAAATTATTGAATATTCTTGTTTGCAATGGTTACTTTTTCTCTCTAGTTTTTTCAGAGGTATCCTATGCTTTCAACCTCTTTAATACAAAAAATGTGCAACCAAAAAAGTCTTGAATGTTGGTTTGGTCTTGATACATCAATAATGAAGAATGTAGGCATAAAGGAGCTCACTCCAAGTGTCGGGCACACCGGGAAGGCACCAGTGTATACAACCTGCATAGCTCCTAGGATTTGACAATTGCTCTTCACTTAGAGGCACATAGAACTTCCTGTATATAGATGAGTGGCCTTCTTTTCTGTACTCTGAAAGTTGTGTTATGTTGAGCATTTGTACCTTCAAGCCTCTGGTTTTCAGTCCATCGATTGCTGCCTCCACTGCTCTCATCATTTTAGGATCCGATTCACTTCCCTGATATCCCTCTTTAAAAATTGGGATTGTTTCACCATAGCAATTCTGATTGGTCCCCACGCCCCAGTCTTCACCCCTAAAATGTTATAAATCTAATTATTTAGTTG